CGTCTATAATTGCACTAAAATTGTCATCTTCCATGTCATATCTGCCATTTTTTATATTTGCTAGTTTTCACGGTGTGGATTTTTATTTTTAGTGTTTTTCTCTCATGAGCAATGAGAACTATTTCAGTTATTTTCTCCTGGATCTGCCTTGCTGGTGCAGCAGCAAGGAGTGTGTTCTTGGGTCCAGCACAACATCCCGCTGTTTGCTGCTCAGACAACGCTGCTGTCACTCCATCTGCCTTGGCTGTGCCTGCGGACGGTTTGTCTGCTTGTGAGAAGGAGAAATGAGGGCTCTTGGGTGGAGTATAAGAGATGAGTCATGAGCATAAATTGCTGGCATCTCTGAAATGGCAATGGATTAACTTGGGCTGAGAGTTCAGCTTTCAACATAAGGTTCACCCAGGGTTTGGCCCTTCAGGAGGTTATAATATAAACAGAAAGGCAGGTGGGCCCATGATTCAGAGGAGCACATTTTCACACCTTGGTAATACAAATCAAGGTATTTCTGACACTGAGGCCAGTTCATGAGACATGAAAGCACAGACACGTTCCTCCTGCAGACTTCTGACTCATCCTGAGTCTTAAATCTCCAGAGTATGTGTGCATGCATGCATGTGTGCAGGAGAGATAATGAGTACGCAGACACATTCATACACACACACACACACACACACACACGTGCACGTAAATAGCAAATCTATGGTTCTGCTGTCACATGTTCATAAGGAGTTGTTCCCATCACATTTAAGTTGGTCTTAACTGATTCCCGGACCGTGGAAAACATAAACAAAGGGCTGGTGGAGTCAGAACCAGAAGCTTCTGTTCTCCTTGGTGACCTTGTGCCACGAGGGCCCAAGTGCTTCACAAGTTCACAATCTCATTTTCTTATTTAACATTATTCATCATTCCCCTCCAGTTTTCACCTCTACATTATCAAGCAGAAAGAAAATTTAACAATCAGAGGCCATGGTCCATGGTTCACTTCTCTATCCTGTATCTGTAGTGTGGAGAACATTGTCATTTAGTAGGTGACCAATAAATGTACTGATTGAGAACAATAGCTATAATACAGCTTTAGAGAACTGGCCATATGCTAAATACCTCATCACCACTTTTAACCATGACCACAGTCTCATAAGGACAAGTTAAGGAATATGTGTGATTATTATTCCATTTTAAAGATGACAAAAATGAGGCCCAGAGAGATTCTGGGATCATGGCCAGGAAGCTAATGTGAGTAGGGAGTCAGTGTTGTATTTTCTTATTCCAGGTGTCTAAGTGGAAGTATAACTGGGATTGGGGTTTGGAAGAAGTGAAATTGGGTGAAAAAAAATCCGAAGATCCACACATAGCTCTAAAACCAGACAAACTTCTTTCATTTTGTGTGTATAGGTGTGCGGGGGTGGGGGAGGGAGGAAAAGAGAGGGAGAGAGAAGCAATCTAGGATTATTCTGAAAACTTCATTTCTCAATTAAAGCCTTCCTCTTAGAGGTGCACATCCAGAAGGATAATTATTCCTCCCACCATGGGTTTCTGTTGCTGATCTATTGGAGGAAGCCACAAGATTGTGTCTGATACAGCTCTACCAATTCCAAAAAGGTCAACGAAGAATCAAAACAGTATTCTTTTAGCAAAGTAGTAAGCCAGGAGTAATTTGTGGGGGCCAGCCATGATAAGCTAATCTGGGCAGATCACCCAAAGGAAGCTCTTTACTTCCAACCATTATCACCTGGGACTCTGGCCATTGATGAATTTAAATGGAGTCTGGAGTCTCAATAGTTTACCCTGAGACAATGCCTGGCTGCAAGAGGAACCACAGGCTGAGACTGCCTGACCCCCACCCAAGAGCAGGCCATTCAAAGGAAATGCCTGGTATTCCAAGAGCTGTAGATAAGAGACACCTGCCAGCACATCTCAACAGGACACCCCTAGACAAATGTCAGCCAACCAGGGGCCCTAAACCTCAAAAACCCCTCACTCCCACCTCTACTACTATAAAAACCCTATTATAACTGAGCTTGAAGCTCTCCAGATATTTCAATACGATGAACATGCAGAAAGACCAGGTTTGCAAACTTGATTAAAATTAAGGCTCTTTGCTTTTACATATGGGACTTGGTCTCCTTTGTTGGCTTTTGTGGGGACCCTGCGGATTTGGGCATAACAAATTGAGTATGATAGGCAATATTCAGAGAATATTCACTCCTTGAATAAATGATAACTTGGTGGGCAGTGCTAGAATCGGGGGAATCACTGACATCCAGAGTGATTTGTGCAGGTTTTGGGATGGGCCATAGAAGGATGCAAGCACTGATCATGACCTCTGCTCCTACAGTTTGGAGGTGCCTCCTTCTAGTACTTCCTAGGTACTGCTTTGGTATTTTTGACTGATTTAAAATTTTCATAAATGAAGTTGGGGGTGGAATACAAAGAAATCACCAGGCAGTACTTCTTCAAAAGGTCTGGACCTAACTGGACTTGTTGAGTCAAACTTCAACTGGAGGTTTTTCATCTTAGAAAATAGAGCAAGGTCTGGAATGATCTGGTTGGGATTTCGATTGGAGACTTGAAAAGGCACCGTTGGCAGGCCTGTTAATATGCCTTGCCCCAATGTTTAAATCATATTTGTTCACACTATGATCTGAAAGATCAGACTGCATCACTGAGGTGCATCACACAGTCCCAGGTCCTCAATAACTACTCAAATGTTACCACTGATCAATATGAGGAACAGTACTAGGTTCCTGGAACCCTTTACTCTAGGCCAGAATGGAGAAGAAAGAAATCACTTTCAGGCAATGGCATCCACATACTCCAAGCCACTTTGTCCAAAACACTTCAGTTTGGTATCAGAAGAGTTTAGAGATGACCTTTGAAACTAGTTATTAGAAATCAGTTCATTTTGATTTGTCTGAGTTTCTGAGAAAGGACTTTCTAATGATGCTATCAATGGTTAGCCTTGTGACTCATGCCAAGATATGCCCTGCCTCCACACTGTCATATACCCAACCTCCATGCTGTCGGTCATGTGTCCCTTTGACTATGTACAAGTTTCAATTGCATCACTTAGAATTAGCACTGGTTGCATTATTTCAAAATTCTGAGTAATTTATGTAACATACACTTTAAAAATGATTCATCTTGTCCTACTTGGAGCACATTGTCTGTGTATAAACAAAAATGGTATAAGTTTAAGTTAAAAAAAAAAAAACCCTTACAGTACTTTGTAGTTCTAAAATAAATCCGTAAATAGCTTATTCGTCTTTTAGTAAGAGTAGACTCCTGGAATGTTGGAATTAGGATCAGAATTAAAGTGGCATTTCTAAAGAGACAAGATCCAGCCTCCTACGAAGAATCTGGTGCTTCACTGAACATAACTATGTAGCCTCTACTAGTCTTGCCAGCCTGTTCAAAAGTTTATATAAACTGAGCCAATATTGCCAGCCTAAAGTCAGTCACAGCATTTCAGGAAACCAAGAGGGCCCTACTATAGGGCACACTGACTCTTCTTATTGGCTTGGAAAGCCACCAGTCAACCTTAATTCAGATGAATTTTATTTCATACTGATGTTTAAGACCATATTTCTGACATTTCACTAAGATATGCTTACATTTATTTATAATACATTCAGTAATATAGAATAACTTCAGTTCATCCCTAAAAGCCCATGTCTTCATCTTTGCTCTTCTGGGATTATCTTTAATGAATATATGATAATAATGCATGATAATAATGCATAATTAGCATGTCAGTTGTTTAACATAATCAAGAGAACAACCTTCTTAGGCAATGTGAGAAATGTATGTATGGAAAAACAGCCTCTAAATTCTGCTCATAGTTTAAGGTACTCAATAAAACTCTGTTCCATGGGTTCTACAAAGGTCGATTTTTATCCAACCCACAACTCCATTTTCACAAATTGTGAATTTGACTATTTCAAAATGAAGTGCATACAGTATAAATAAAGACCCAATGGGGAACGATTTCCAGTACCCGCTGTGGCCCATTCGAAATGACTGCTGCTGCCTGCTGCAGGGAACGGTGATGCCACTATGCTGGAGTCCACTCTTTAATTGTTACTTTTTTGGGGGTCACAAAAAATGGGAAAACAAATCTCATGACCACTTAATACACATCAAGTTACTAAACAAAATAGAACTGCTTTTAATGTCTCAGTCAATAATTCCCTTTCTTTACCATTGTCATTGTCCCTGCCCTTTAGCAAAGAAGAGTTCCATGCCTGGTCCTCATCCAAGGCCTACTTTTTTAGACAGGCAGGGACGTTGGTGTCACCCTTGGAAGGCTGTTCTTTCTATATTCTGTTCACATCTGGGCTATTCCAGAATGTTTCCAAGTTTACGAGGAACTACTCGAGCCCAGCCCCACCCCCACCAGCATCACTATCAGTACTACTCTCCCCCCAGTAGAAGAAATGCTTACGGGGCTAGAGGCAGCTCAGCCATCAAAAAAAAAGATAGGTTCTCAACCAAAAATACAAGAAATGCTTACGAAGACATCACTGCCCCTTCCCCCGCCCAATCTTGCTGTTCTAATCCATCTCCACCTACCAAACAAGGCAGCTGCTTTCAGACACAAATCGGACCACATTATTCTTCAGCATTAAGTCCAAAGATTCAAACCATGAAAACGGTTTTCAATGTCTTCCCTATCCCTTCCTCACTGTGCTTCTGCTTCCTTTGTCTTCCTTGAGACAGTCTCATATCTTGTTATGAAATCTTGTTTCCTTAAGGACTGCTTTTCTAATCCTCCAAACCAGGTCAGAGTTTTCCCTGACTTCCCTGTACTCTGAGGAATTTATGATCAGTATTTATTTGAGTGATTGATATATATTGGTTTCCTTTTTAGAGAGAAGGGTTCGTGAACTTCTGCTATTCTCCGTGTACAGCTCAAGCATCTGTCAACGGCTCCTTATTTGGGAGATGGTCCATGGGTGTGTATCCCACCCCTTGAGAGGAGAGGAAGAAGCTAGACAACTCACCGCGCTCATGAGCGAATCCAGGACGCTGACAGCAAATGCTGTTCCACATGCAAAGGGCTGTGTGAGGTACAGCTCCGTATCAGGGTCATCGTCATCGTCTTGGTCCAAAAACTGAACATTAGTATCATTCACTAGAAAAGGCATAAAGTAAGAATTAGCACTGAACATCACAAGTGCGTCAGTAATGCCAGTGAGACACTAAGTGACTGGCTTAGAGACACTGAAATTACTGCCAAAGAAACAAGCATGGCAAGGCTGTTGATGGATCTTGGGTTGGTGAGGAGTGGGACTCAATGGCCTGCTCCTGCAGGAGGACTCTTTTAACTTCTAAGACCCTGAGAGCAATGAGATCAAGCGGGTTTGCTCCATGGCAACTGGTAAGGACTGGCAAGTTAATGGCACTGACCAGTCCTTGTTACAGTTTCAGAATCATGACCAAGAAACACCCAAGGGCATTTTTTGGTAGCCAAATCCTTTGATAGATGAACATCATTCAATGATGAATAGCCATGCTACAATGGTAAAGTTAGCCACAAAGAAAAGAAAGCAACTTATTCAGAAGGAAAAGCAATAGACCAGAAACACAGCAAGGGTAAATGGCAAGGAATTTACCCTCAGGCAGGATCCACAGCTAGCACCAAGGATGAACCTGGTAGTACCTGGCATGCCTGGCCTCTGAACCCACACCCATACCCAATAGGTAACACTAAACGCTCAGGAATGGCTCCTGGCTGCCTCTGACTGTTTTTCAACTTTCTCTGCAAGGCTCCACACACTCTCTTTCCCCTTCTAAACATCCTTGTCTTCCTTGTGTTCTAGAAGACATGGTCATAACAAGATGCCTTCTTTCCCTTCCTTCCCTGTCATTTGAAGAGCCCCTAAAGACTTCTGCATGCACCCACAGACTGAAGAGTGGTGTCCTTCCAATATCTTTCGCTTATAAAAAATTAAATGAGAAATGAGCTTCTATTCCTATCTTGGCCTCAGACATGATCGATTTTGCAGTGCAAGTAATAGGGGGAAGTGTGCGGAGCTGGGGAGAGCACACTTGTGATTTCTGGAATAATTAAGGTGGTTTTGGGGAGAGAACAGATGAGGTTTCCTAGCTCTGATGTCTTTCTGAATCTATCTGCCTCTAATTCTCTTCCTAGAGTTATTGTTTTAATTTTTAAAGGAACTTTCTTGACAATTTTCCTTAAAAAAAAAACTTGTTTATTGCATGAGTCAGAATAAATGATAATAGGATAAAAAGCTAGGCGTGGAATTATTTTAAATGACACCATCTACCCCCACCCCCGGAAAATGAGGCAAATCTTTTCTAGATTTGATGATGTTTGGGTCCCAGTCGCCTCAGTGGCAAGAGAAATGCAGGACAGTGGGTGGAAGCCCCAAGTCTGGTTTGTCACCAACTTCTCTGGCAAATCATTTCATGATCCTATAGCTATGCTGCTCTCACTGCGAAGTGGGGAAATTATGCAGTCCCTCATGAGGTATCTCAGAGCATCCTCGGGAACCAGACTCAGTGAGTCTGCTCTAGGACCCAGGGTATGCTGTGGAAAATGGAGGCTGATACCATGATTGTCTATGGATCTATCGCACTGTGGAAATATCCAGCCTCTCTCTGCTCCTCTCAGAAACAGAAAACGAAGTTTACTTATGAACCCTCCAAATGGTTCTGTTACGTTGAATTATGATTGATCCTAAGCTGCTTCCATACCTATTTCATGTTTGACTGAAAGTGTCTCTTTATGTCATGAACTGTGGCCTCACTCCTCTTGGAGACTGTATAACCTACTCCAGTAAGAAGTAGCTCAAACTCAACCAATCACGACGAGTGGCCTAGTGTTCAAAGTACATCCAAACAAGACAGGTTCTACCTGTATAGCCCAGTCAAGGTGTCTCCATGCCACACACACACTGCCCTCATAGTGAGCCAAACATAAGGAACCATTTCAGTATGGGCCCCTGTCACACTCTAGAATTATAGATAAAGTGAATTAAGCTCTCGAAAGCGGGCACTGGACAGATGCTCCGTGATTAAGAGTACTGGCTGTTCTTACAGAGAACTCGTGTTAGCTTCCTAGCATCCACACCATGGCTCCAGGGAACCCAACATAATATTCTGTCCTCTGGAGCCCCATGAGGGACATACATACATATACACATGTGTGTGTAGGCAAACACTTGTATGCATACAAGAGAAATAACTACTTTTTAAGATTTTAAAAATCACGTTTGTTGAAATTTTGCCTTATCTTTTTCTTCTCTCTGTCTCTCTCCTCTTTCTCTCTCTAGACAGTGTCTCATATATCCTAGGTTGGCTTCAAATTAGCTATGGAGTGGAAGGTTAGAGAAACTTCTGGTCCTTCTCCACCTTTGCAGTACAGGGATTCTGGGTTGTGGACTACCACACCCAATAGATGAAGTGTTACGGATTGAACCCAGGGCTTTATTAATGTTAAGCAAGTGCTCTACTGACTCAGCTAATCCTAAAGCAACTAATTTTCTCTTTGGTATTCTGAAAGTATGTTGTGAGGACCATGGTATTTCTGTCCCCAGATCCAGAAAATGTCAGCTACAGGAGCTCACACATCAGACTATGGTTTTATTCATTCACAACAACAGCTGCTGCTGCTTGTGCCATCATTCCTACTGGAGCAGCGTCCCTTCCCTCGTCACAAGGAGATGAGAAAGAAATAGTGCTATATTCTTAGTGTGGCCCGGGTCAGAGCAACAACTCTGGACTTGAGTGATCTAACAGTGTAGGCTATGGGAAGGTGTCAAGGCGAGAGCAAGTTTCAGTGAAAAGCTTACCTGTTGTTCTAAGATGTCCAGTCTTAGGAAGTCTCTGTGCCTACTTCCCAGAATAGCAACTACATGGCTAATAAGAGTCGACAAGAACATTGCCCCGTAATGCATGTGATTATATATAAATATAGCTGGGAATTAAGCAGCTACAAAGTTCTTTATCATGGAAACTTCAGGATCCTTTGCCACAGGAGTCTCAGAACAGATGAGGACCGGAATATACTACAGTCTTAAAATGTGTTTGGTCTTGGTTGCCTCTGTGTCTTTGTATATGTTCATGTATGTATGTGTTCATGTATGTATGTGTTCATGTACAGGTGTATGTGGAAGGTAGAGATTATCATGAGCTGTCTTCCTCAATCATTTTCTATATTATTGTTTGAGACCAGGTCTGCCAACTTAACTTGGAGCTCACAGATTCTGCTAGATTAACTGGACAGCAAGTCTCAGGGATCCTTCCACCTCTGTCCTCAAGGGCTGGAACTACGAGATGCACATTGCCATGCTCAGCGTAAATGGGCAGGCTGGGGCTCGGCTCTCAGGTCCTCATGATTGTACAGCAAGCACTTTGCCCCAGGTCCATCTCTCCAGCTCTGTCTCTGTGCAATAACACACATCACACATTGCAGGGCAAGTGGCAGATGGCAAGTATTTGCAGAGGTGAAGTGGGAGGGAGAGTGGTGGGAGGACATTGGTGTGGCTACTAAAGACACTAGACTTAAGAGCAGAAAGAACACGGGGCCTGATTCTAGGCGCAAGGGGGTAAAGTCTGGTGTGTGAGAGTGTCCGGGGACTTGATAAGCAAATTGCTGCCTTGTATCTGGAGCACCAAGCTTTTTGCTTTCCTTTTACACTAATCAAATTCAGGATACTCTAGTCAGTTAATGGCCCACGGATTCCACATGTAAAAGAAAAGCCTTGGCATGGGTGTTTTCGGAAAGCCTCTGTAGCTATCTGTACCGGAGATGCTCGGGTGAATTTTCTGTCAGCAACATGAGGCACATGAGCTTTCTTGGTCTTTTATGGTCCTATGGTTCTAAGTAGAAGAATGGGGAAATTCAGGGCTTTTACCAACAATGCTAAACATGAAAAAGATACCTCTCCTATTGTCTGCAACAGTGTGGTACTCCTTGACCTGAGTGAATTTGTCCTGATTAATAGCTCTGTCTAACAACCATGCAGGGCTGCATGGTGGACAATTTATTCCTTCGTTTCTAGACATCTCACAAGCAAGATCACTGGCTTAAAAGCTTCCCCTCTTATTTTGAAATATATTTTGGGGCCAAGAAAATGGAGTGTTCATTTCATCTGTGAGTCAAGTGAAAGCAGGTGCTCCCCACCTCTCCTCCCACATCTCTGCTGAGGAGCCCTTTGCTCTGTCTATTTAGGAGATCAATCTCCAGTGCTGAAACCTCCTGCTGATGGGCACCCTTTGTGGGTTATTAACCAAGTCATGGGGAACCACGGAAGGGCCTGACAAATGCAGGCATGACCAGGAGCCTTTATCTTCTAGATAAATCCAGTGTGAATCTCCCAGGGAGGCTTTGGATCAGCAGGGTGGGGGCCAAAAGGTAGGGTCCCCAGCCTGTTCTGCACCCTTCTTGGAATCTCGCTTTGGTAAGAAAAGATCCCCTGGGAACCAGCTGCTTTTTATGGCTTCAGAAGCCTAACTTCTGAGAAAGGGCCTAGTGTGTGTGTGGGGGGGGGGGGGGGTGGAGGAAAATAAAGTCAGAATAAAGAAAAATAAACAGCTGGAGGGAAGGCACGGTCTAGAATTTCTTATCTTAAAATTTTTATATTTTTCTTTGACTTCCTCTGAGAGCTGTGCAGACACGTCAGTCAAACTGACAGCATGTTGGAAGCGGAATATAGGGCGGAGGCGGGGGAGAGGGGGCACGTGTGGGATTTAAAAGAGAGGGAGAGAGAGGCTTGGGCCACAGAAAAATGAAACAGAGCAGAGATGCCTTGCAAGGCCCTGCCAGGTCAGATGGGTGTGATCAAAGGTTTACCGAGGCTGTGGGGAAAATCATTAAGGAAAGGCCAGAACAAGACAGTCGATTCCAGCCAGAGCCGCAAATACAACGCATTCAAAGCAGTGCCATGGGGTAGCCTTTCCGTTATAGCCAGCGAAATGAAGGGGGAGAAAACCAATGAGGGTTGGAAACACCAAGATCAGAACAAAAGAAAATACTGATGTCAAGAAGGCAAGCACTTCTTACCCAACTCCGTTATCATTAGAATGTGCGTCCCACTGTTTTTTTCCTGATTGACTGATACCAAAGGCAACTTGCCTGGTTTAGCTAATTGGATAAGGCAGTTAAGGGTCGGGGAAAGGGAGTGGAGGGAAGTACAGAAAAGAAAAGGAAGAAAAGAGTGAGGGAACAGTAGGGGATGCATTCTCTAGCTAAGCCACCTGGACAACAGTGTACTGGCAGGGCAAGGGCCATTCAGTGGTTTTATAACTTCGCAGAGGGTACCAGAGAATGGCACAGACATGTCAGAGGTAGGGTTTCATTAGCTATAGATTATAGCATTCAAACCCTGTGCCCTTCAGTCATATTTTGGCCATTTTTTTGAAAATGACCTTTGGTGAGAATCTCAGCTGAGAGGAGTTGCTACATAGTGGAGCAAACAAATATTTGACCGAGTTCTCACAGGGGATCCATTCTCAGGTGGGATCGGCTCAGTCCTGAGCTTCTGAGCAGGGTTTCAACTATAGGAGCCTTTGAAACAGAACCCTCAGAAGAGGCACCTTCGGGAAGAAGTCTCCAGAAGAGCCCTTGCCTCCTTCCTTCCCCGTTCCCAAATGGATGCCCCAGTTCCAAAGCCATTCTCATGCTCCTTTGAAAACCATGGCAAGAAGGAAGGAAACTGTCTATTTCTCTCCTGGGAAAGATAGAACAGTTTGTCCTTCAAATAACCTGTGTATCTCCACTCATCATGCCTTACCTTTGCCACTCCACCCCAAACCCACAATGAGCAAAGGACTAAACAACAGGCCAACCTCCGTATAATCTAGAAGACAAAAATATCCACCCACTGAGCTGACTAGCACTCCCTACCGAGTTCTGTGATGATGGGGATGTTGACTCCTGTTGTGATGGACGGCTGGCGCAGCATCCCATGCACTGGGCTGTTGTCAGGAGATGACCGGTCCATTCCAGGAGGTGTGAATCCTAGTGGGGAAAAATTGAGAGAAGTAGAAAATGTGGAAATGATAAAACCACAGAACCCTCACAATCTAGTGGATGCATTATTGACAGGTCACCAATTAACATAGGATACATTCTGAGGGTTTTTTTTTTTTCAGGCCATTATAGGAGACACACTTGAAGAGATTTTAACTTACTCTGACACCTTCGTAAAAATCCAGATCATATCAGGATACATGCTTCCTACTCGTAGTTCTCCCTCCGACCAAGTAGCTACCACTGTGTCTAGTTGTCCCTAGGCAGTCAGAACTGTGGTCACATACAAAGTGCTCTTGTTCATGAAAAGTGAGCAAAGAAACACACATCACGTCTGGCATAAGACTTTGTCTCCTACTTCTCTTCCCAAAGCACGTCTAATAAGAAGATGTGGATCACTATGGAGGTGGAGTCAGGACAGCAGTCTCAAGCAATTGTCCTGACCCAGAAGACTCCTGAGTAAGAAACAGTGATGTGCTCTTGTAAACCACTGAAACTGCGTTTGTATGTTGTTACCGCAGCCTATCTAAACTCATTCTGACTATTCTCTTCTGCGAACTCACTGCATTTCTTTCTGCTCACAAGGAACTTAGGCCTAGGATTTGAAATGGTTCTGGCTTGTGAGACGTGAAGGTAAATCTGCCTGGAGGCTTTCAGCAATTGTTCCTTGGTTTTAAAATGAAATGCATAGGAAGATACCTCGTTTGATTCCCCCTACATATTTTTTCATATGCTTGCAGTTCCTAGACCTATGATATCCCTCCTCCAACTAGGCTGAACACCTATTGAATACAAAAGTCACTTGCTGATACTGTCTGAACTGAGTCATAAAACTAGCCTTGAATTCCTGAGGTAACCAACATAGCACTATCTAGAGATCATGAGATTTATGAAAAAGGTAAGATTGGAAATGTCAAATTTAGTAAAGCTGAGACTTCCCTCCAGCCAAGCCCACTGGGTACCTTGTTAATGATGAGGCAAAAACACAGAGGCACGAAAGCTCTTTGCATAGTGCCTGCATTGCTCAGAAAATCATTTTCCAACTGAAACACACAGTAGCTGGATCTGTCAGCTCTGTGCTATCATTTACTTTGGTTTGTTTTAGTTTTTATTTTATTTAATTAAAAAATAGTTTTGGAGTTATGTATATGTACATATATATGTATGTGTATATGTATGTATATGTGTATATATAGCCATGGTTAGTCTGAGTTCACTCTGTAGACCTGGCTGACTTTGAACTCACAAAGATCTTCCTGCCTCAGCCTCCTGAGTGCTGAGATTAAAAGTGCTTACCGCTATGCCTGATTCTTTGGTTTCTCATTTCTATATGGGCCTACCAATAAATGAAGGACTTAAAGGTACAAAGATAACTTGCATGGTTTCCAAATCAAAACTCCAGAGTGATCATAGGATCACATTTTACAGTCAGTACTTAGTAACGGGACAAGGCTGGGCTGATTCAGGCTTTGGGGACGTCGTCTTCTGCTCAACAGCCATCCTATCCTTTCAGAGGCTCATATAAGCACAACAGGCTGGAGACTTTTAAGGGCACAAGCTTATTTCCTGCTCTCCTTTATATAAATATCCTACCAAGTTCTATACTTTCAGAAGGAACAAAAAAGTATCCATTTCCTGACTGCAGTTAATTTTTTTGGAGTATTGCAATAGCTCAAACAGACCAAGTTGCATTCAATGAGTTAGTATGTTCATTCTTCCTAAACTTTGGAAAGTGTCTATTTTCCAGCCAACCGTATAACCATATGCGTTTTAAACATTAGCTGTTTTCTTTTCTCCGAACAGTGAAGGGGAAGAAATAAACTGTTTTCATCAGAAGTTGCATTCAGAAGCATGGAAAATTGCAAGGGACAGCTGTGCAGATTCCGTGCATGTGACGTTTTTTACTTTCTTCAACTTGACAAGTGAACACCTTGCATCGGTAATGCTCTATGCATAATACATGGCCTGTATTTTGACATCCATCATCAGACACTGACTGGAGAAACCATGGGTGTGTTCCTTGAGGTGCAGCACCCATAAAGCGGCAGAGATACAGGTCACACAGTGTTAGGAAAGCTGTATTTCACTGCAGAGTCTATAACCAGCCGAAGTAGCCTTTTATTTTATCTCATTTAAAGATTCCATTTTCCGCTGTGAAAAGACTCAATCCCTTTGCATGAAACCTTCATTAGGAGACGGCACGCCTGCTTTCTTCCTAGGCCTCTTTCCCTTTGCTTCCATTCTCCATTTCCCCCTGCAGACTCCAAGACTGGCTCCATCAAGCATCTGCAACTGACAGACTGAAGGCTAGCCAGCTATCGTCCCTGAAGGTCTGTCTCTCCATCCGGGACCCCAAGGACAGATACTAATGTTGACACGAGAACTTCAGAAATGTCACTCCTTCTGTTTTGCAACGTTTCTGCCCTCACACTGGGGGGTGGGGGGCGGTTGTTAACAAAAGTATAGATTTTCTCCCTTCCTCTCATATAGTAGTAGCAATGACTCACACGTGATTAGCATTTTCCCCGTTAGGGGCCCTACTATAGGAAAACTATGTGATGAAGTACCAGGGTGTTGCAGCCTTCCTAAACGACTTCGAAGAGAAGAGAAATCTAGATATATTCCATCTGAAGGAATGAGGAATAAGGATGATCTGAGATATCACCATTCCGGTCATGGTTGACAACACAGGTCTCAACAATGTTCGGGTCTCCACCCCTTTAATTACTGGCATCACTTTATATCTCTACATAAAACAACACTGGTGTTCTGCTTGTGCAAGCCAAGACATGTGGCATATACCCCAGGGATCTGCAGTCAGAGACCAGAAAAACTGGGAAATGCTCCAACATGGGAGACAAGCCTTCATTTCACCAAAAGAAATCATTAAGAACATCAGCGTTGGAGAGCGAGACTAAGAAACTGCACTCGGAAAAGATTGAAGTTGCATTTGCGGATTGCCTAAGCTCTTGCTTAGGCTCTTGACTGTCCTACAGTGTTAACACTGTACTCCATGGACATGCTAGAAATGACGACTTCCTAAAACTGCTTCCTCTCCTTCCAGGGAATCCCCTCCCCCAGCCCAATGCCAGTCTTCAGTGGCAGCTGTGCCTGGCATACATCTGTTATCCACTGAACATCAAGCATCCCCGCCTTGACTGGCCCTGTTTCAAGCCAGACATCCGCATTTCACATGCTGGAGTTTCCTGTTTACCTGGCTCCAGGCTTATGTTTAAGAGGCCTGACTCACAAAGAAGAAATAAAAGGGACGAGTGAAAAACATAGTTTTGAAGCCGACGTCTTAGGTTCCAATTCTGGTTCTTTATTTCTTCATCTATTAATTTTTTTTTCTTTGGATTTTTCGAGACAGGGTTTCTCCGTAGCTTTTTGGTTCCTGTCCTGGAACTAGCTCTTGTAGACAAGGCTGGCCTCAAACTCACAGAGATCCACCTGCCTTTGCCTCCCGAGTGCTGGGATTAAAGGCATGCACCACCACCGCCCGGCTCCATCTATTAATTTTTTAAAGATATTTTACTGCATTGGCTAATTATTTGACTAGTCCATGCATGTATATTATGAATTCTGATTGCTCTCCCCAGTACCATTTATTATTTTCCCCTACCCCTTTCCATCCCTTTCTCAGATTACCAACATTTGGTTTTGTTCTTTGACCCATTTAGTTTAATCAGGGCCACCTGTGTGACCACCGATTGGGACTATCCATTGGAGCTTGGTGGAGTTATCAGGGGTTATATGACTAAAGGCTATGTTTCCCTCTTCATTGAATCTGCCAGAAATGAGTAGTTCAATAGTGAGGGGTATAACTCTGAGTCCCTCCTCCATCCATGCCTTACTGTTGACTGGTCCATGAGGGTTACACTCTGAGTCCCTCCTCCATCCATGTCTGCTGTTGACTGGTCCATGAGGGTTACACTCTGAGTCCCTCCTCCATCCATGCCCGACTATTGATTGCTCCATGAGGGTTACACTCTGAGTCCCTCCTCCATCCATGCCTGACGGTTGATTGGTCCATTCTTGTACAGACTCACCAAAGGCACCTGTGACTGCTGTGAGCCTGTGATAGCTCTGGGCATATTTTGCAAAGAAGATGTTACTTTACATTCCTTCTTATTTTCAGGCTCTTACATTCTTTCTGTCCCCTAAGCCTTAGAGAAAACAACACAGATGACTTGGGTTAACTTTGTAGATATAAACACAGAACAGCCAATATTCTCACTGGGTCTCTGATTCTTCATCTAAAAGTCAGAAGTGACCATTACACAGGAAAACGGGAAGGCTGAAGTAAAATGTGTCATCCCTAGGATGAAGCAAGCACTCAAAACTGCTGTCCACCAATGACAATATGATAGTAGATAAACAACAAATACTTGTGCAGAGATCCAGCACCCATCAAGACCGTATCGGTAAAGAACTGAAAAGCATTTGATAAATCTTCTAAAGAAGAATTTGTCTTAGAAAACTAATGAGAAACCAAGAATCATAGCAGGTGATTTGTTATAAATAGATTAGTCCTGCAATAATAATAACTAGGATAACAACAACAACAATAGACAATACTAATAAGTAACAATGCAGCCGGAAGTATCTCAAGAAGGAATCTGGATATGGGGATGGCTGAGGTTTTCCTCAGATTGACAGGAAACTGGTGGCCGGTCTTCACAAAGGAAAGGCTCTCAGCTCCAAAGAGCAACTACAGGCCCCTTCTTGAACTTTCTCTCTTCTAGACCTAATTTCTGACCCCTTTAATTAGTTGGAAGTCATTTGCTCCTTGGGCTCCTGAAACTGTCTTTACCACGCTGCTTTTTTCTGGCACCTGTGTTCTGGACACAGCATCCCTGCTGAACTGAACGGAACAGGGCCAGCCACAACCCACCTTCTCTGGATAGTAGTCGTTTTGTATGCTAAATGAGTGTGGGCTCAGCGGGGAGAAGAGAGGACAGTGGAGCACCAGTAAGTGCCAAGTTCAG